ACGTGTACGAAGAGCCATAAAAGAGCTGAGAGTCTAAAGAAGGAAAGGCAAAGAAAAGACAAAATGAGGAAGGCAGGAAGTTCAAAATGGAAAAAGAGTAGAAGTTTAAGTAAGAAGTAGAAGAAAGGGAATCACTAGAGTGGAAAAAGACAGTAGAGTATCTTGTAAGGACTACTAGCAGTCTCACAACTCTCCAAGAACTTTCTTAACAGATGTCTAGTGTATGTCAGCAGGATACATTTTGATGAAGATTTAGTTTTGGAGAGGGATAGCTTGCAAAACATCGGGCTGTCTTTGATTGTTGCTCAGCCACATGTGGACCACTCATGGAAAATAATTACACTTTCTCAGATAAGCACATTTTAAAAGCAAAAAATATTAAACGCTCAGAATGTGCACTGTTTTTCAAGGGGATATGTCTTTTCGTTCTGCTCACACTCTGAGCCTCTGTGAACTCTTTGAACTCTGCTCCAGTGGAGCAGTGAACTTTTCGAAGTGCTAGTACAGTGTCTGGTTAAGTTACTCTGGAACATGTTTCATGCCTTTGGCAGACACCCATAGTTTAGCAAAAGGAACAAAGTGGTCTGTCTTCATAAATATCAAGTGATTATTTCTGAAGAAGAAAAGAGTGAGATACCTTGCTGAAATATACACTTTGGCTGGTGAAGCCTTAGACACACTACTGCTTGGATAAAACAACAAATATTCACATAATCTTGAAGCACTGTTGCCCTTTAGATACTCCCAAGTAGTAGAGGCAGGCATGAAGCACTGCAGAACCCAGACATTTGCCTGAACCACAATCTATCTAGTCAGGTTAACCTTAGTCCTGTCTTGCACCTTCCATCTAAACCTAAGTCTGGACCAAGTTCAGTCAGGGTTTTGAGGAGATAGCTGTCTTGGCATTAAGCTTAATTTGCAGCCTGAGGAAAAAAGATTGTCCCTGTACTAGTTTCTTAGCTATTTCCATATCTCTTTCCTGTACCCTGGTTTCCCTTCTCTCATCAAGATAGCTCCAAGTTCCCCTTCTAGACAGTTCTTGGCCACAGTCAACTCTTGAATTTTCTACTCATTGCTTTGACCTATAGGAATGAAATTAGTGAGAGCACAGAAGAGACCTCTGTGAGTTCCAGGACGCTGTAATGACCCAATCTGTAACAGACCAGGATTGCGATTGCAGGGCAAATTACATAGGCACAGAAAGACTACCCAGAAAGATCAATCTAAGGATAAGTCACATGTATACCATTCCTGAAATACTTCTCAGCCTTAAACATTGTCAGTGACAGAGATTACTCCAACCCTTCAGCCAACCTGTTCCAGTGCTTCACTGTCCTTTTCTGATGTCAAAGACAAATTTCCCGTATAGCAACTTAGGCTAATTACATCTTATTGTGTTCTCAGTAGACAGGGAGAATGTTTTATTCCTTTCTTCTGTGCAGCAACTTTTTATATAGTTGTAAAATGTTCTAATGTCATCCATTGGTTTTCTTGTAGGTTAAACAACCCTAAGTTTTCAGTCTTTTTTTTTCAATTTTTCCCACATCTTAGACTGTTAATTTCTTCTGGACTGCTTCCACTCTGTCCATATCCTTTTCTGAGGTGCAGAGTTCATCTGGACACAGTGTAAGTTAAGTGCCTATTATCACCATGCAGAGTGGAAAGATTACTTCAGGTTGTTCTTCAGATTGTCTTTTACATTTGGTCAATATTACCCACGTATAGTATTTTGACATTGTATTGGCATTGTATTAAACCTACTCTTTTAAACTATGAAACCAAGTTTTCAATATTATTGTGAACTCTAGCCACACATGGTATGCTCAACAACTCTCAGAGCTGCACCATCCAAACTCATTAAGAATATTTTTTTTTTCACTGGAAACTAATTGTATTCACAGTATCCTTCTGGTTTGATAGCAAACTATTGTTACCTATCTCTAGATATATTTTTTCAACCAATTTTACAACCACTTAAAACAGCATCCACTAAATCAGGAATACATGATTATGTATGAGATTGACATGTGAGACGGTATAAAAAGTTTTACTACAGTCTTACTAAGGTCAAGACATGGGATGCCTTCTGCTGCTACTTACTTTTTCCCCTGATATATCCAATTGGCGTCAATACGTTCAGTCAACCAGCCTATTTTAAGAAAATAGCATTATCTAAGTTAAATATAGAAATGAGTTCTGGAGTTCTGCCTTCCGCTGCTGTAGACATATAGCACTCCCAGATTAGGATGCTGTTGCAGATATGAGTCTTTGGCTTTTTAGACAAAAGAAGTCTGTCATGTTATACATCCTGGACTCCAGTCCTTCCCTGTGTAATGGTACTGATTTCAGTAGTAATCTGTACACAGGCAGTAGTTCCTTTACTTTATTAGCTTCACTTTTCCATCTTTGGTTATTAGAGAGCAAAATATTTGAAAAACAAGTCACAATTCCTCCAATTAATTTGCCCAGTTTGGCAGGTGATGGCGAGAAAGATTTTAAACAGCTGCCGAGCTCTTACTTTATTCCTTTTTAGTTATGGGCACTCAGTCTATTTTTCCCAAATTTTAGTTCAGCTTTCATCCAAATTTACTTTCCATATTACAAATGAAATAGGAGACAGTTGTTAGGTAATAGCAAGTATAAATAAAACAATATTTCATAATTAAGAGGATTTAAACCTATTTGGTACTGGTACTCAAAAACTGAAATATTTGAGAAACAAGTATACAAATATAAATGTGTACTGATTGTAAATTGCTTATGTAGCTTGTTAATGCACCAAATCCAAGAATTCTATTCTTGGTTACTCTTTAGAAAACGCACAATAGTTGAAATGTAAGTCCTGTTTCTGTATCTGTTAAGGTCAGTAGAAAAGATTTCAGTGATTCAGTGCTTTAGACTCATCTAGTAGAAGGAAGAATTCTTCTTTACTGGTTCAGACTAGATGCTGCTGATCACTGGGAGATAACAGCTTTTTTTTTTATTTTTTTTTTATTTTCCCAGTGACAGCTTCAGAAATGATGGAAGAAGAACAAGATGAGCAAGGGGTTATTTTATAGACAGACTTGGAAAACCCTTTTGAAACCTGTCTGCTGTTGTAATGAATTTAAAAGAGCAAAAATAATTCTCTTGGAGTCAAGCCCACATAGTTCTTTAGTGATTAAAAGCAAATACCCATTATTAGGTCCTGTCTGTTTCCTTTTATTTCTTGTTTTCATCTACTCCACTAATCCTCCAATACTTACATGGAATGTGAAAAGGATTTCTTCTTTTGCTAATTCTGTCATATACATAAAAGTTGTAACAATCAGTTCATAATACGGACTAGTGCTAGATTGTCAGAATGACTGATCTGTGGTGTTAGAACTTAAACTTTTGTTACTCAAATCCCTTACATTTGTTTGAGGTTAAATGCATCCTGTTTTTTTTTTCTCAGCAGTGATTGACAGCAATGTAGAAGCAACATTTTATTTTTAGTAATTTACATCAGATGCACATTTTTGCAAATATTTGTAATTTTTCCTATCATCCCACTTTATTCAAAGCTGCTATAAGCAACTGATCTTTTTTAACACAGCAGCAAAGATTCAACAGGCAAAAGCCAAGCACAACTGTGGATTCCCTTTGACTGTCCGTGTTAGGTGCAGTTGGCTTCTGCAAGTGCTACCACTCATGGTGTCAGCCTTTCTGGGATAAGCAGCATCATGTCACTCTGGAGCACTCCTCCCAAATGCTAGTGTTAAGCAAATGCTTATCTCTTCCAGGGATTTTACTCAGTCATTTTTAACTTGCTTAGTTTGTGTGCAATGTTATTAAGGTGAGACATATGACATTATGAAATCCTGCCGTTATCACACAGGATTAGAGAAGAAGTCCATCACAGTCAGTATCCAGCCCTGGCAGAAGCCAATAATGGTGCAGTAGATGGGGGGCTGTCATCTGGAAGAGAGGCTGTCTTCTTTATCTCTTAATTGGAATTTGATTTATTCCCTGAAATATGTAAATGAATACGCATTCCAAATGTTTAGACCTTTTCTCTTCCTTATTCCTGCCTGTGTCTGTAACCAGTGATTAACTCCTCTTCTTTTAGTCCTACTGAGCTCTTCAACATTCTTTGCACTGGAGTTAGCTCCTTTCAGTTTCATGAAAACTCTTGGACACTGCTCTTCTGCTTTCCCAAATAGATTGCTTTTTAACACTGCCTTTTTTTTTTCCATCTGTACTATGTTTCTTCTTCTCTCCAGTCCAAATTCAGCAGCTCTAATGGTTCAGTAGGGAAGACCCTTCCAGGCTTCTTCTCACTCTGAACCCTCCTGCATTTCTGCTGTCTTTATTTTAAATTAATGTTGCCCAGCCTTTTTGCTCTCTTTTGCCCTTTTTCTCAGGAAGTTATCAAATGCGAGCATGGTGCCGTCTGTCTCAGGATTTCCTCAGTCCTCCCATCCTTTCATCAAATGCACGCCTGTGTCCCTTTCCCAGAAAAGATGAGTCTGCTCCTGCCAGAA